GGAAAACTGGAGATAAAACCTCATCTGTCAAGAAGACCTCTATGAAAGATGCCAAGAGCATTGAAAAAACTCCGAAGAAAACAGCCTCAAAGAAAAGTTTTGCTGAGCATGACAGTGCTTCTGCCTCCATTTCCAAGCCAAAGCAACCTGCATCCAAGAAACAGAAAACTGCAAGTGAAAAGCAGGACACTAAGGGGAAGGCTGCTAGCAAGAAACAAACTGACAAATCTTCAAAGGCTTTGGTTAAGGATCAAGGTGAATTGCCTATATTCTCTCTTATATGCTTATAACATCTGCTCTCCTTTGATGCTATATGCTATGGTCGGCTGGTTTCTCAAGTTAATTTTTAAATTTTGATTAATTTTTTGCTTTAGTAATCCTGTCAAACTGTCTGAGGAATTTTCCCTCTTATATGATGTTAGTAAATTCAAAAAAGTTATACAAACATTTAATTTTAGAGTTTTGATTTTTTACTAAGTATTCTTGTGTCCTCTTGTTTTTAATCCTGTTCACCCATTGCTTTTTGATGTCTCAACGGTAGGGAAAAGTAAAAGTAATAAGAAGGCCAAGACAGAACCTACTAAGGAGGATATGCATGCAGTAGTTGTTGATATTTTGAAGGAAGTAGATTTCAATACTGTAAGTATTGTTTCTCTGGAATTCATGTATAGTTCAGAATTTTTTTGTTTCAGGGTCTGTTTCCTATATTTAAAAACTGTTCTTTTAAAACATTTAAATAAAAACTTGTTTGATAAGAGTAGTTTTCTGAAAATTGTTTTCAAAACTAATATTTTTTTTTAAACCTGAAATTTAAATAAGTTGTTTCAGGTTTCTATTACGTGTTTTCTTGCACTTTCACATCTCACTTTTTATTTTCTGAAAATCAAAATTTGAAAATTATTTATAAAATGGTTTGCAAAAAACTAAATAACAAAAACACAATCAAACACACCCTTAGAATTTTACATTTTGTTCTTGTTTGTAATATGTTATACTTGATGCAGGCAACATTGTCCGATATCCTCAGGCAACTTGGTATGTATTTCTTGACAGAATTCCTCTTAAATATTAAGGGAATGATGCCTTGAACTTAAGCTAGTTTGTAATGAAATGTTGATAGGTACCCACTTCGGTTTGGATTTAATGCATAGAAAATCAGAGGTGAAGGATATAATTACAGACGTTATTAATAATATGTCTGATGAGGAAGATGAAGAAGAAGCTGAGAATGATGATGATGCAGATAAAGACGAAGATGGCGACGACGAAGATGCGTGATTTTTGTTGGCCAAGTAATATTTGACCTGTGCAGAAGTTAGAGGCATGTGGGCATCTAATAGCTAGATTTTATCTTCATAATTCTCCGGTCAGCTGTCACTGCGGATAAAGTTAAGGTAGATATTTGGTTTGAGTTGTGACCTTTTCCATTATAGATGCTCTAAATTAGGTTTGTATTTTGTACCATATTAGATTTAACCCGCTCCTCTGTATTACTGATGTGGCCTCTATTTCCCCTATTGAATAGTTTGTTTCTCCGCCTGCCTGTAAACATTATTGCCTCCTAATTTAGATCAATGTTCTTTCGTTTATTTGTTAAAACTAGAAAAATAGATTGTAGATCTTTGAAATTGAAGTGATTTTTCTTGTTTATATTAAGCGTCGTACCCCTTGTATTGTCACGATTTCCATTCTTGTCTGCATTGGGGATTTACATTTATTTGTAAGTAGGGCAAACGGGAATATTAAATAAATGTCCTTAATTTGAGCGTTCTAACTACGTTGTTATAAATTTGACCTATGCAATAAGTGGCCTTTTTACTTAGAGGCGCTATGCTAATGGTTGTAGCTTACGAGAGTATGATTCTAGCCGCAGCATCTGCCATTGCTCTGTGCCCACCATGAAGTTGATAGGGAACGTTTGGATCGTGAACATTTGGACTGCTAGGTGAAAAATGATGACTGGTTTTCGAAATATAAAGAGGATTAAAAAAAGTTTGAAAAATAATTTTTATTGATAGAAATGTCATTCATCCTGATCGTTAAATAGTAAATCTGTGAACATTATACATTTGTCCTCGGTTGATCATAAGCCGTTGTTGATGTAAGTATTTTACATGTTTCGTTCGTAGTGTGTTCGATGAGAATTTTGAGAGTTAATTTATTTTTTAAAGGATACAAAATGTCTTATTAAAATATTAAAATTTAAAAAATTTGTAAGTTTTATTTAAAAGGAAAAATTACAAATTATCCTTTCTCTTTTTATTCCAGCCGTGTTGGTCCTGTTGCGATCAGAATATGAAATATTTATAAATCTACGAAGTCCAAGTCGTGTTAATGTTAACCAAGTTATATTCATAAACACTTCATCCTTGCTTCAACTACCTGTTCTGGTTATGAATTTTATATCTATTTCTTATTTTGACGCAATACGTTAGTATTATTGATTATGTTGCTGGAACGCGAAAACAATATTTTGCCAAAATTATAAAACATTATGACAGAAAAATTAGAGTAAAAAATTGATACAAAACGCTGAAAGGCTAATTTAATAAACTAATTATTTTTTAAATGTGAAAAAAACATTATATTGAGCTTTGATTTAAATTTTGTTATAATGAATACTAGAGATTGAGAGACTAGTCATAACATTATCTGTGGAACATGATCAGTTTTTATAATAACAAAATATACTTTTATATATTAATTATAAAAGGAATGATTTAAGTTATGATAGTTTTATATTTTATTAAATAGGAAAATAATTAAATAGCATTCGTGTATCTTTCACCGACTATTACAACAAATACTAAAAAATAACAATAAGTCATTGTTTTTTTGGTAAAAATAAATAAACAATAAAATGTTTTAATGCTTCATATATTTATAATTTTTGAGAAATATATATTACATCTATTTTTATTTATTTAAATGAGGTATCAAATAATATTAAATTAATATAAATTTTGTAAGCATCCGAATTTAACTTTTAATATAACATTAAGTTTTGAGAATTTTTTTAGATTAAAAGTTATTGAATGATGTAAATTTAGTTAGTGTTATTTGATCGCTCTTTTATTGGTATAGATGCAATTTTACTTTATTATATCGTGAAATTACTTTTAGTTTTCTAACTAAATTATGGATAACATCTTTGAATTATGCTAAATTTCACTTTAGATGAATTAAAATTTGTGAAAACATGAAAGAATATTTTTTTTATTGAGATGTATGCACTTTGAGAGGTTAGATAAATTATGCTACTTTTCACTTCATATAAAAAAAACTACAATATTAAAGCATTTAATTAAAACAATTTCTAAATAAAATGCAATTTCTCGAATGATCGAAAAAATTAAAAGTAAGACTTAATTATAAACTCCGATTGAGTTTTAATATTCAAATGAAAATTAACGAGTGCTCTTAAATCTTACAAATAACACTTTTCTTTAAATAACCCGAGATTGATAATTTAATAGATAACACTTTTTTTTAATAACCCGAGATTGATAATTCATATTAAATTCTTCCTGAAAAATAAGCACTATTATAAATCAAATACCTAAATAACACTTATCTTTTCTTTCTATTTCTATTCTACTTTAAAATAACGTATCACATTTATACTGCACTTTTCTCTCTTTCGTATCTCTTTTAAGTAACTAAGTATCCATGAAATATCAAGAATCAATAGAATTTCTTGGTAGACATAAGAATCAATAGAATTTCTTGGTAGACAATAGGATATGAGACTCCAAAGTTTTATAAATTTAACATTTATAATTTTAATCCCTAAACTTAATAATTAGTAAATATAAATATCTCTCACCCTTTTATATTTTTCTTTTTATCTTTTCATATTTATTTATTATTCATTTTCTTTCAACATCAATGCTAAAAATTCGTCACTCTCCATCCAAGTAGTGTGAGAAATGGGAAGAAATCTGTTTAAATCGAGCATAATTATAGGTTTTTCCCTTGTTCTGAAATAACAGACTATATTTGAGTGTACAAGCTTCAACACCTACTCACCAACCAACTCCAAGCATTAATAATTTTTCCCTTTCTATGCCTCACTTTCTGGCTGGTGGTGAAAGTATTTTTACTTTGGTTGCTATACCTTTGTGCATGCATTAATTTGCACATATAAATTACAGGAAAAATATCTATGGTCATTAATCTGTCTCTATCATATTGCTACATTTTGTTAACCATACGAAATGGTAATCAAAACTTCTGTCTCACTTCATCCTATATAACTTCTCCAACCCCACATGTGCTATCAGATCCTCTCATTCATCTTTCTCATCACTTCTCCAGCTAAACATTGTTCAGGTTAGTAAAAAGCTGAGTGTTTTTGTTTAATTTTTGCGTCTTAATTTTCAATTATAGAGCTTTTCCATGCACTATTTCTTTCAGCATATATTAAGTTATGATACACAGAAATTTAGTTTATACCCTACACCTATTATTTCTATTTACATAAGAATATGTTTTTTGTTTTCATATTTTTGGTTAAATTTTGTTTTGTTTTATATAGTTTTAATTTGATGACTTTGCTTCTCCAAATTCTAAAAATATTGATTCAATTTATTTTCAAATTTAAACTTAATATATTTAGTGACTATATTTTGCTATTATAGAAGTTTAAAAATGACTAAATTTACGTATGTTTTTAAAGTTAGAAAATTTTCTTTCTAGGTGTTAAAATAGGAAAAAAAAAAACAAGTGATTTATAATCAATGTGATTCTGACTAATTTCCATATAATACATAATCGCCTGCTATTAAATGTTTCACAATAATTAAACGTTTTATTTTATTTTATTTAACTGGGATAATTTTATTTTTATTTTTCTTAAGTTTTCCAACATGTTTCATCAGCTTGAAAAACATGGATGAAAAACATTTGCCAAAACATACAAACATGGCCGAAACAATCTCTCACTGTTCATATATCGTGCCTGTTCAAAGGTTAATTCATAGGTGTCGGCGAAAACGGACATGGCTAACACTGAACTGATCGTAAAGCAAGGAGAACCAACGCGAGTTCAGCCTGCAGAGGAAACAGAAAAGGGACCTTACTTCCTTTCAAACCTGGACCAGAACATTGCTGTTCCAGTGCGCACGGTTTATTGCTTCAAATCTGCTTCCAGAGGAAACGAGGATGCTGCACAAGTTATCAAGGACTCCTTGTCCAAGATTCTTGTCTCGTATTACCCCATGGCAGGGACGTTGGCTATAAGCTCGGAAGGGAAGTTGATAGTGCATAATCCTGGGGAGGGTGCAATGTTTGTTGAGGCTGAAGCAAACTGTGACATCCAAGAGATAGGGGACTTGACAAAACCAGACCCTCGTACTCTCGGGAAACTCATTTACAATGTTCCTGCTGCTTCAAACATTCTTGAGATGCCTCTTATGACTGTTCAGGTTTGACCTACTTTGTCACCATGAGACAGATATCATGAATCGCAAATATGATGAAAATGACAAATATACAGAGAAATAAGAAAACAAATATGGGATGAAAATGACATAGAAGAAAAATTGGTTATGCAGATTTGTGTTGGATTTAAATGTTTTTAATATTATTATCTAATATAAATTACAACTTTACCTAATAATTCGCATTAACATTAAGTAAAAGTTACTTTTATGGTAATGTTTTGAATTTAGTGAAGAAAAATGAACCAAAATTATTTTAAACAATGTTTTATATAAAATATATACATATAAATTTATTTGAATTTTAAAATAAAAGAACTATTCTAGAATAAATAAATCATAATTTTTGAATTAAAATTTGCGTATCAAAGATTAATCCACCTCTATTTGAACCACTAATTTAGAGTTCGACTTAACTTCACAATTGGGCGAGCATGTAAATTGAACTGAATTTAAAATTCTAAATATATAAATAAAAGAATCGTATCATTCATTATTATGCCTTTTATTTTTTTCTTCAAAATGAAAAGATCATAACCACAAATTAAAACAAATAACACTAAACTATATATATAAACTCTCAAGCACTCAAGTTATTGATTGATAAAATATTATTTGAATACAAATTGTGTGTTTATTGTCTTTACAAATATTTTCTAGTTAAAAACTAAAAAATATATTTAATAACTATTTTTTTTAAATAATATTTAAAAATCAATTTTATTTTTTTATTTTTAAGCTAAAAAATAAAAATTGATAAAATGTTTTTTATTTTTAGTTTTTTTATTAATAATATTAGGCCTTATTTGTTAATACTGTAAAATTGTCAAAACCTTAAAATTTGTGACTTTTTATTGTTTTTGGTAGCATTTTCTTTTCTTTGCTTTACTTTTTTTTTAAAACTAAATTTATCATATATATATCGTTTTCATTTTATTTTTTTGAAAATACAGTTACAGTTCAAAAACAGAAAAAGAAATGGCAACATTCAAATTAAATTAGAATTTCCTCACATCTTAGTTGTTGCCAAAAACTATAAAGAGTTTTAATTTTTTAGTTGGCTCAGCAAAAGGAAAGGGTCATGGAACTGGGATATGTGCATTGAATCATATCCATGTGAGAGATGCTAAATGATGTATCTTCCAGGTGACAAAGTTCAAATGCGGAGGATTTACTCTGGGGCTTTGCATGAACCACTGCATGAAAGATGGACTATGTGCCATGGAGTTTGTGAATGCATGGAGTGAGACAGCACGAGGTTTAGACCTAAAGATCCCACCATTTCTTGATCGAACCATAATCAAAGCACGTGACCCTCCCAAAGTAGAGTTCCAACACAACGAATTTGCAGAAATAGAAGACGTATCAAACACTAAAAAGCTTTACGCGGAAGAGAACATGCTCTACAGATCCTTCTTCTTCGATCCTGAGAAGCTCGATCTGCTTAAGAAAAAGGCCACAGAAGACGGGGTTTTGGGCAACTGCTCCACTTTTGAAGCTCTCTCAGGGCTTGTATGGAGAGCTCGAACTGCAGCATTAAGGATGCAACCTGATCAACAAACAAAGCTTCTCTTTGCAGTTGATGGAAGGTCAAGATTCGTGCCCCCAATACCAGAAGGGTACTTTGGCAATGCTATTGTGTTGACAAATGCGTTGTGTGAGGCTGGGGAGTTACTGAAGAACCCTTTGTCATATTCTGTGGGATTGATTCGCAAGGCAATTGACATGGTCACAGATAGTTACATGAGATCTGCCATTGACTATTTTGAAGTCACAAGAGCTAGACCTTCTCTAACAGCCACCCTTTTGATCACAACTTGGACTAAGCTGTCTTTCCACACAACTGATTTTGGCTGGGGTGAACCTCTATGTTCTGGCCCTGTGACCCTTCCAGAGAAAGAAGTCATTTTGTTCTTATCACATGGTCTGGGAAGGAAAAGCATAAATGTTCTTCTGGGTTTGCCTAAGTCTGCCATGGAAACTTTTGAATCATTGATGATGCAAGTGTGAACATGTAAGGGTGACACAGGTTTGGTGTTGGTCGGGTGGAAGAGATACCCCTAATGAATAAATCTGGCTAATTAGTTACCGAACTATGTCCTCAAATTTGTAATAAATCTGGCACATTTAGTTTGATTGTTGCTTCACATATTTTCTTAAAAAGAAGTTGGAACTATATTATTGAATAATACATCCTCCTCATACCCATGATGAATATTGTTGGATTTTTTATTAGGTGTTTTTAAAACTTAATATAACCATATAACTACATAAGAAAATATAACGTTTTCAGGGTTTTCCATTAAATTATACATGTGTTTTTAACTCCTTTATCATTTTTACATCACATCATGTCACACCATGTCTACTTTATATCGCCCTACGCATATATTTCAACCTTAAAATCTGATGAATCTTGGTCAATCCCTTGTACTCCATTCAAATTCATCTTTTTGATGTTAAATCATAAGTCTTTAATATAATACATTATTATATTATACTAATGATTTTGGTAATAATAATAATAATAATAAATATTATAAATATAATTACCTTTTAAAATTTTAACATATGGTTCAAGTGTCATTGAAAATAAACGGGTAAATATATCCTTTGCTAGGAGTAACTAATAATTAAAATAACTAAGAATATAATATTTTACATGAACCACGTCATAATTAACTAAAGGGCAATATAAAATATTGAATGAAGTTGATATTTAAATAGACGTGTCATAAAGTTAAAAGAAGATAAGTTGTTGAAGTTTCATATACTTTTATTTAGTTGTTGAAAGTCTTCAAAATCTAAAGATGCTTAAAATAAAAGGAATATTGTATGGTCATGTAAAAGGTTGACTATTCAAAGATTTTGAATGTGAATTTCCAAAAACAAGCAATTAATTAATTAATGAAAATCAACCTCCATTTTCCTCTTCTCAAACAGCATAACCTATAATTAAAAATTATTTAATAATCTTACAATCACTTAGAATGTCATACAAATTATCTTTGTCTTTTGTTTAAATGGGATGAAAAATGATAGTATATATATAAACGTAAAAATGACATAGTTTGATTTAGAAGAAATAGAAGTAAAAATTGTTGAAAATTATGTAAATTGATTTGTTTGAAATAATTGACAATTTTTTTATATTATCCAAAATGTTAAATTTTATAGAACAAATAGTAAAATTTGTTGGAGAAAATAAAAGCAATTTAATATTTTCAAATTAATAATAATTATTTAGTGTTTCCAAATTCATACTAATTAAAAAGAATAAAAACTAAAATTAAGTAAGTTAAATATAAACAGAAATATATATATATATATATATATATAAATTAATGTTTTTAAAATTAAATGATCGTTGAACGATGAAAATATAAATTTAAGATTTAAATATTTAATTAAACTTGAATCAAATTTAATAAAATAACATTTTTATAAAATAATAAATATATAATAAATTTATTAATAATAATATTTTTATAAAAAATAAAATAATAAAAATTATTATTATGTTCACCGTAAATTATAATTTATAATTAAAATTATAAATATAAAAAATATAAAATAATGTAAAATAAATAATTCATAAAATAAAATAAAAATAAAATAATTATTATTTAAAATTAATATAATTAATATGTGATAAAAAAATAAATATATTATATTTTTATAAAATATGTATTAAAAAATTTATTTAAATTTTGCTTTTTTTGTCAAAATCAGTTCAATAAAAAAAATCAACCGATTTTTGTTTGTTAATTTTATCTCAGTTTAATTAAAATTTAATTATTTAAAAATAATAAATAAATTTTTAAATCAATTTTCGATTATAGTGATTTAATTTACCTTATTTGATTTTCAAATAAGTGGGGAAAAATATATATATATATATTAAAAAACAACTCGTTTAGTTGAGCATGTGGTTTGCGACTTCACCTTTATTTACTAACATAAGAGGTTTATTTATTAACAGAAGAGAGGATTAGTATGTAATTTACATCAAGAATTAGTATTATTCATCCAATAATTTCTGGGCAAAGCAGATTTATGTGTTCATTTTAGTTTATTTTTCAATATACCAAATGAAATATATGGTATATTATAATCGATTATGATTAAATAGTAGATAATTGTTTATATCCTATAAATATATAACAATTCTTAACAAAATATAAATTATTATGTTATACTTAAATGTCTAGATTTATCGTTAAAGTTTGAGGAATAAATTATTATTAGTGATTCTAAATTCTAATAATTCATTTTATAATGTACATAAATACAAATATTCAAATTACTATTTTCCTCTCTAACCAAGTAACACGCAAATCACGACATTTTATGATGGATTCTAATAATTACTCACTTATAATAAAATAAAACCATTCTAATTCGGAATGATTAATGTCACTGGTCGTACCTTTAATTCATCATTTAATATTTCAAAAATGGACCAAAGTTTAAGAATGTGTGGTCCCCACCCAGACCATGAACGGATTTTGGGATGTTCTTTTCCCAAACTCAATCACTAAACTCCCTATATTCTTCCTTGAAATTATTGGCATCACCACTTTAATATTTTGTTTTATATTTGTTTATCAATTTTATTAATTTTAAATAACGTATCTGAAATAGTAATTGCAATTATCAAAATAATATTTTATTTGTAAACCGTAACACATAAATCTGGCTAATCATGAATATTTATAATATATATATATATATATATATGTTTAAATTTAATTGTTTACGAAAATATTAAATTAGTTTTCTTGTAAAAAAGTATTAAATAAGAATAAAGATGATAATAAGTAAGAACTAGTTTTTAAATTGACTATAGAATTAAACTAAAAGTAAATTTTCACAAACGGTGAAAAACTATATTCATTTTCTTATTTTGACAAACTGTTGTTAACTTTACAAATTTAATTTTTAAAGAATTATTATCTCTTTTTTGACTTTTTTTTATAACTTCTTTATCTAATTTTTATCTTTTATTAAATTCAAGTATATAATTGTGTTTTTGATAATAAGAGGAATATTTTCATTTGATGAGAATCTTAAATAAAATACGTTTTTTCTTTGTCCAATTTTAGAATATTTCTATAACTTTGGGGCTAATATTTATTAGAATTACAAAGTAAGATTAAGAGGGGGTGAATTGATCTAAATAGAAACTTTTCAAAATTGTTTTGTACATATTATAAATTTTAAAGATTAAGAATTCTGATCCAATTTTAAACTAAGAACTAGCACGCAGAATAAAAGAAAGAGATGAATAAAAGAAAAGAATACAAAGATTTATATTGATTCATCCAATTCATCGGACTATATCCATTTTTCAACCAAATTTCAGTTGAGTTGAAGAAACTAAAACAATCAAACAAGTATGCAGATGTAAGAATCCAACTATAGAATGAGTTTCTTCAAAAACTAAGAATAAAGAGTCTTAAGAAAGATTTCTGAAGAATTCCAATGAAAAGAGCACGCTTCTCTCTTGAAAAAGATATCTAAAAATTGTTAGAGTGATTTCTTAAAGATGTTTTTAAAAACATTGGAAAAAATCTGTTTATATAAAGATTTTTCTAGCTAACTTATTCAATTAATCGATTAATTCACTCTTTAATTAATTAAAATAACTAAGTTTAAATGAATTTAATTGATGAAAATTCTTTTTAATCGATTAAAATGTTCTACAAATTTTTTCTGAGACGTTTTAACTAATAAAAACGTATTTTAATCGATTAAAATTATGACATAAAAATTGCTTAAGTATTTTTAATCGATTAATTTGAAGTTATATCGATCAAAATTCTGCGGTAAGTTTTCTAAAGCCTCCTTTAAGTATTTTTAATCGATTATTTCAAAGATATATAAGTTAAAATAATGATAGAAGATTTTCCAAAACTTCTTAAATGTTTTTAATCGATTAATTCGAAGTTATATAAATTAAAATACTTGACGGAGGTTTTTCAAAACTTTTTAAGTCATTTTAATTGATTAATTCAAAGATATATCGATTAAAACTGCGACAGAAAATGTTTTCACTTTATTTAAGTGGTTCTAATCTATTATTTTGAAAATGTATCAATTAAAAATGTGACAAAAGGTGTTTTCAAGTTTTTTAAGTGATTTTAATCGATTATTTCAAAAACTTATTAGTTAAAATCGAGACTGAAGATCATATTAATCGATTAAAATGATTTTTAACAAATTAAAAAGATTTGAGGCACTTTATACTTTTGTAAATGATAGAAACTCATGCTATAGAAATGGATAGATGATACCTATTTAATATTGATGCAGACTCACTAATGGACTTTAACAACAATACATATCCTATTTCATGACTTTTTTTTACTTCATCAAATCTTCAAGACTTCCAAGATTCTTACTTATTCATCAATCTCCCCTTATTTGATGAAGACAAAGAACCCCTTGAATCCTGCAAATAAACCACTTAGATGTTTGTGTTAGTCACAATTAATGTTAGTGAGTTATTCAATTTTTCTCCCCCTTTTGACTTCATCAAAATGGAGCAAATATTAGACAGGCTAAAAGAGAGCATGCATATAATTTGAGAATTTAAGATTTCTCGACATAAGCCAGTATCAATATTACAGACTAGAAAAGATGGAAAAATAAAAACAGAAAAGGAACAAAATAAGTTCAGTGATTAAGAAGGACCCTTGTTGCGGAAATCTAATCATCATAAGACCCCTGATTAAATTGTAAGTCTTCCAGCTTGGTGTAAATGTCTGTGATTTGACTGCTGAGATTAGAGAACTGGGTGTTTGTCTCATGATAGTGTTGGAAAGTCATCTTGATAAACATAGAATATACGATTACAAATATCGTATCATGCCATGATTCTACATGATTAATGTTTTCCATATTTAGCTTGGCATGACAGCGATGCACAGTGATGCACATTAATGTCATATCTGTTAATAGACAAATTTAGGATACCGACTATAATGGTTAGCGTAATTATAGCCTAG